CTCTCATGAGACCCTAGGTTTCCTGGGAAAAAGCATCTGTTTGCCCATCAGTGTATCCCGAGTCACCAGTGTCTGGGATATACTTGGTGTTCAGTAAGTGTCTGTTGAATGAATGGATGAGTGGATCACTCTTCATGCAGCAAAGTTCAAATCATTTTGCTTCTTGTAGATGAGCTTTCTTTTGGACTATTTCAGCCTAAGGATATATGGAATGTGATCTAATCCTTCCGTTTGCCCTCACCTGACACTGAAATACTCACTTAATGGATATGGAACTTGAGAACTCCCCATAGAGATCAGAGACTGTGGATGAACCACAGGAAGATAGACATGGATTTCTTTTCATAGATCTGAAACTTTAAATGTGAAGTAGACTCATAGGTTTTCTTTCATTCAGCACACAACACAGAGTGGTGTTTCTGCACCTCTTTTAATATAAGACAAACACCTAAACTTACTAGAGCCCATCAATAAGTGGATCTCACACTACTTTTTAGTATCTGTGATGTACCTGCTAGGGACTATATGCGGAATAAAGAAATACATGAAATACATGATATGGTTCTGGTCTCCCAGGTTGAAACCTGAGTGATGATATTCAGGAGCACTTGAAATGTTCAAACTGTGTGATACTTATAAGAATTCATATATATTTTTTAAGATTTTATTTATTTATTTGACAGAGAGACACAGCGAGAGCCGGAACACAAGCAGAAGGAGTGGGAAAGGGAGAAGCAGACTCCCTGCAGAGCAGGGAGCCTGATGCGGGGCTCGATCCCAGGACCCTGGGATCATGACCTGAGCCAAAGGCAGATGCTTAACGACTGAGCCACCCAGGCGCCCCAAGAATTCATATTTTTTAAGATGCTTAATTACTTGTTTATTAAATCAATTAAAAGCATGCAGTGAGAAGCAAGGGGAAAGAGAATGGGGGTAGTTAACACATTTAGTGCAAGCCAGTAGAAGGGCCATGCTATGTTATGTACAGGTTATACAATGTTCATATGCCTTCTTTCTCTTTGTTGCAAGGCCTTTTTGGTTTTAGGGAGCAGGGACTCTCCTTGCCAGCTTAAGTCTTCTTGAGAAGGAGGTGGGGTTGGAGTTCTCATGGGAATCCAAGAAATGAGAGACAAGGAGTGGCCCAGTGGTCCTGAAGAGTGAGAGTTCTTGGTTATTTGTGCTTGCCCTAGTTTCCTTGAGTTTGCTTCACTATCTACTTATCTTTTGGCTGCCAACAGCTATCCTCACCCCCTGTTCTTTTTAGTACTTCTCTACCTCACAGGTTCTGCTTATGCTGGTTCTGGGTTCCTCATGACTTCAAGTCCCACTGGGCCCTTACTCTCTATCATGGCTTCACTGCATCCATTCAGGACCTGCTTTCTGTGCTTTTGATCTTCATATTTCTTATCCACACCCCCAGTAATGAGCATCTGGCTGAAGTTTTTCTTGCTAGAGTAGAGCTTTCTATGCAAGAGGATCCCAGAGGCCAGAAACTGTGTGCCCTCCCTTCCTTACTTGGACTCAATTGGGTGAGACCAGGTGTGAGGTGGGTCGTGTGGTGCACATGTGGCTGCCAAGCCCACCTTTGTATCAGAGTTGGGGAATGGGCATTGCCCTCTGAAGTGGCTGTGGGCCTGGCAGGTACATTGGAGAGCCTTTGGGGCAGTGGGACTCGAATAATAGGATTTCAGCAGGCTGGGATTAGAGGAGGGATGGTCTGGGAAGAAGACACAGATCTGACCCATGAAGAGCCAGCATGTGGGCAATCAGAAGCCTGCTAAGAGTGAGCAGGGAGGAGGTTGGATTATAAGGGCCCTAAAGGCCATGTGGGGGAGGTAGATGTTTTTTATAGGTGACAGGTCATCTCTGTAGGCTTTTAAAAACCCTGCTGCCAGAATAGACTTGAGACCTGCTAAGAGGCCACTGACGCCAGTCGGGAGTGAGATAATGTGTGAGAGGAAACAGAGTGAGCAGGTAGTCATGGGACTGGAGAAAGAACAAACACGGGCTGACATAACAACAACAACTGGATATGGCAGCTTCAGGTCCAGGTGGAAAGGAGTGTATTCTAGGGGACTAGTAGCTTCTGTATCAGAACCAGGAATGCAGTAGCCAACACCCAGCACAGAGATTTTCGTGCCTTCATTCGCAGGGTGGCCAGTGGGACACAGCTTTTCACAAGTGTCCTGCCGGGTTTGTGAACTGTCTCTGTCCGCTTTATCGATTAGTCGTAAACATCCATTCTTGTGTCTTGTCCTTGCCCAGCTTTTTAGATACCTTTACTGCAGCTGTTTCATTCAGTGCCAACCAGAAGGACAATGTTCCTGGGAGCTCTACACATTATAATTTGGCCAGGAACCCAATCCATTGCATACCGATGCCCTCTGTCCTGGATTTTGCCCCTGCAACCTGGTCAGACATTTGGGCTTGTTCAGAGAGTGCTAGTGTGGAGCCTTTGAATTTGGCTCGAGTGTTTTGGAAAATTGTGTGGTCCATCGGGTGCTTAGACTGACTTGTAGCCTTGCTTGCTTTATTTATCTTGTTTATTACCAGAACGATAACAGTTAAACAACTTGGATGCAACTCAGTTTTTAAAAATTTATTTTTTAAATTGAGATAAATTGATGTATAACATTGTATTAGTTAGGTGTGCAGTGTAATTATTTGATATATGTATATAATGCAAAATGATTACTACACTAAGTCTAGTTAACATCCATCATCATACATAGTTACAGATTTTTTTCTTGTGATGACAACTTTCAAGATTTACTTTGTTAGCAACTTTTAAATACATATAACACAGTATCATTAACTGTAGTCACCATGCTTTACATTACAGCCCTAGGATTATTTATCTTATAACCAGGAGTTTGTACCTTTTGACCACTTTTACCCATTTTGCCCACCCCCCTCGTCTGACAGCCACCGATCTGTTCTCTGTATCTGTGAGTTTGATTTTTTTTTTTTGGTTCCACATATAAATCATACAGTATTTGTCTTTCTATGTCAGACTTATTTCACTTAGCATCATGTTCTCAAGGTCCCTGATGCAACTCAATTTAAAAAAGGCCTGATACGGAGTAGGCTGACTTTGAACAACAGATAAAACAGAGGGGGTAATTACTTGCTGACTGCAATAATGCAGTAATGCTGATTGCAAATAATGAAGGATATGGACTCATCTCTTAAGTTGTATGAGCCTTCATTTCCTCATCTGGGAAAAGGATAATAATCCCTGCTATGTCTACCTTTCAAAGGTTTTGAGATACTCAGATGAGATAGGTGTGTGTAGTGCTTTGTAAATTTGAAAGCATTCTATGAATTTAAGATATTAACTAATGATTAGTGGCTTCTGGGGCATTTAAAAATGGTTTGATCTACGTTTAGTGGAAACTCACCTAGTATGAAAACTTTCAAAATGGAATCTCAAGGTTATATCACAGCTCAACATTTTATAGTCATATCTCATCTTTGAAAGTCCACAGAGGAGGGAGCTGGGTGTTCCTGAAAAGAATTACTTGCTGGAAATGGGTGTGTGTGTGTGTTGGGGTGGGAGGAAGGGTGCAGAGGTGGTCGGCTGTCTTTTCTAGGGATAGCGAGTAGAATGCCCTCCTAATGATTAATTTCTTTTTTTTTTAAAGATGTTTTTATTTATTTATTTGACAGAGAGAGAGAGAGAGAGAGGGAGAGAGAGGGAACACAAGCAGGGGGAGTGGGAGAGGGAGAGGCAGGCTTCCCGAGGAGCAGGGAGCCTGATGGAGGGCTCGATCCCAGGACCCTGAGATCACGACCTGAGCCCAAGGCTGACGCTTAACAACTGAGCCACCCAGGCGCCCCTAATGATTAATTTCTTGATAGTGTGTGCAGAAGCAGGCAACTTGGTGGCTTATTAGCAGTCATAACCTCTCCTTTTCTTTCCTAGTTTCCTTTTGTCCTAAAGGATCATGCTGCTTGTGTTTACCTCTTGGTTCCGTGAAGGTGGCCCTTGGCAAGTAGCACCTTAGCCTTTGGGTAGATGGGAGGGATGGAACAAAGCCCTAGGCTACTCCTTCCAGAATCACCAGTTTTGCTTCTTTCCTCAATGCCTAGTATAGTCTTTTACCTGAACTATTTTTCTGGTTCTCTGTATCCTTAAATCCTCACATTTGCCTTGCATGCCCCCTAGTGGCAGGTCTGATGCACCCCTTGTTATGTTACCCTGGTGGGGTCCCATGAGCAGTTCTCCCCACCCAGTTCTATTACCAAGTATTATCCATAGTTCACAAATGCGGAACAAGAGATTCTGTGATCCTGACTTGCCGCTCGAGTAGGACCTGGGGAAGTGGAATTGGGAATTGGAACTTTTGATTCCCAGATTTATACAATGGGAATGCCTCAGAAAAAAGATGACGTGGTTATAGCTTTTGTAGATTTAAAAAAAATGGTTTAAAAGAAATCTAGATTATTTTGCTGCCTACTCAACTAATCTAAAAGGATAAAAATGTGAATATTTGAAGATAAGAATGATTGTCCTTTTGGGGCACCTGGTTGGCTCAGTTGGTTAAGCATCCCAACTCTTGATTTCACTCAGGTCCTGATCTCAGGGTTGTGAGATTGAGTCCCGAGTCTGGCTCCACGCTGGATGTGGAGACTGCTTAAGATTCTCTCACTCCCTCTCTCTCAATCCCTCCACCCCTCACACCCGCTCTCTAAATAAATAAATAAAATGTTTAAAAAGAATGATTGTCCTTTTTCCTCTTTCTTCATCACATTGGAAAAACTTTCATCATTCATCAAGTGTTCAGTATTTCAGGCTCAGTCCTGTTAACAACTTTGAGGTATACAAAAAAAATATAATGTATGATATCTGCCCTGTAGAACTTTATGTTCTAATTATGTTCTAGTTACAAGGTGTTTAAATGTATTTTCTTGAGGAAAAAAATAAGTATAATGCATGATAACTTTTACTGATGTTTTATATTTTTACCTCTGAGCATTTGCTTATTTATTTTTAAAAGTCCTTTTCCGTGGAGAGAGAACCACATGATAACAACAGTAATTACCCAGATGAACCCTGGCGGATAACAGAAGAACAGCGAGAGTACTATGTCAATCAGTTCCGATCCCTTCAGCCTGACCCGAGTTCCTTCATTTCAGGTAACTAAGTCTGATGGGTGAAGACATGGGTCCCAGATCATTGTCTCAGATAGGTAACAGTACACATCTTGAGATATAGTTCACACAAAATCAATGTGACAACCTCTGTGATTTTGATTTGTTTTCCTCTAAGGTTGAATTTTTTTTTTAAAAGAATTTATTTGAGAGAGAGAGAGACAGCGAGAGAGGGAATACAAGGGGGGTGTGGGAGAGGGAGAAGCAGGCTCCCCGCAAAGCAGGGAGCCCGATGTGGGGCTCGATCCCAGGACCCTGGGACCATGACCTGAGGCGAAGGCAGCCACTTGACTGAGCCACCCAGGTGCCCCTAAGATCGAATTTCTTATCAGCTATAAACCATGCAGAAAAATACTTGGCAATGACATTTGGAAAATTATATTTCAGTTTCAAAGGTTTAAATGGGAATTTGGGGGAACCTGGTTTAGACCTGTGCCTTATTAGTTGGAGCAGTTCTTGAAATGGTAGACTGTGGCACCACGACGACCTCTTTAATTGCTTATTCATATTAGAGCAAAGATGTAGTGTAGCCTTCTAAAGATTTAGTGTCACAAGTCTCTTACTGTTATGTATGCTTTAGAAGTCCAAATTCATGCTCGTTTTCTTTGGCTCAAGTCTTTCTCCTCTGGATTTTCTGAGAGAAATTAAAATATGGGAGGAAAATGGGCCAGCAGTTTTATGTCCACATGTCTGTTCTTCTGGGTTGTCTTCTAAATATGTATTCCTGTTGAGTTCTCATGTAAAATTCAAACTGAGACAAATTGATTTAATTCCTATGTGCATTTTCCTGGACTGAAGACTAAACAGTGAAATAGTAGAGTCTGGAAGAAAAATTCATAAAACTTTCCTTTTGTACTTCAATTTTGAAGAATAACAATATGCCCTCAATAACTGTAACCTGACATACTGAATGTGGACTAATTTTCTCTTGAGAAATAAGGTGTGTAATTGAAATATACTTGTATAAATTCAGACATAATTTTTCTAATTGATGCAATACCTTTATTCAAAGGAGAACATTGTAGATACAACAAATTCATGTTGACAACAGGACTTAAAATAAGCATAAACCCGGATTGACCATTTGCTAACCTTACCCACTGCTTAAGTGAGTTTTTAAATTTTTTTAAAGATTTTATTTATTTATTAGAGACAGAGCACAAGCTGGAGGGGGTCCGAGGGGGAGAGGGAGACATGGGGCTCCACGTGGGGCTCGATCCCAGGACCCTGGACCTGAGTTTGAAGGCAGACGCTTAACCGACTGGGCCATCCAGCCACCCCTTAAGTGAGTTTCTTCATAATATATGTGTATAAGTAGACAAATACAAATGGGTAGCTGTTAGGAGTGTTTTTTTTTTTTTTAAGATTTTATTTATTTATCTGAGAGAGAGAGAGAATGAGAGACAGAGAGGGAAGAGGGTCAGAGGGAGAAGCAGGCTCCCTGCTGAGCAGGGAGCCTGATGTGGGACTCGATCCCGGGACTCCAGGATCATGACCTGAGCCGGAGGCAGTCGCTTAACCAACTGAGCCACCCGGGCGCCCCTGTTAAGAGTGTTTTTATTTTAACTTTTTTATTTTGCAGAATTTCAAATACGGATACAACTAGAGTGGCTAGTATAACAAACCCCTCTGTAACCTATTACACAGCACCAGTGATTTTGTTCTGTCTGTATCCTCTCTCGGCCCAGATGATTTTGAAGCAGTTATCAGATCATTTCATTTGAAAATATTTGAGGTCATATCTCGAATGATAAGAAAGACTTCTTTTAAAAACATAACCGCAATTCATTGGCACACATGAAAAAAAATACAAAACACATTTCCTTAATGTTATCAAGTCTTTGTTCAGATTTCCCTGATTGTCTCACAAATGCCTTTTAAAAACAGTTTAGTTTGTTTAAGGTCAAGAGGGGTTCATATATTGCAATTAGGTGATGTCTCTTTTAAAAAAACATCTTTTTTGAGATAGTAACATACCATAAAATTCACCCCTGTAGAGTGTACAGTTTAGTGGTTTTCGTGTATTTACAGAGTATATTCATAATCTGAATTTAGAACACTTTCATTACCCCCTAACAAACACCTACTTATTAGTAATTATTCCCCATTCCTGCTCTCCCCACCTCCCAGCCCTACATGACTAAACTACTTTTTCTCTCTAAAGATTCACCTATTTTGGGCTTTTCCTATAAATGAAACCATATAATGTGTGGTCTTTTTTTGTGTCTGACTTCTTTCACTTAGCATAATATTTTTAAGGTTTATCCAGGTTGTACTATGTACTAGAACTTCATTGCTTTTTTATGGCTGAATAATTTCCATTGTATAGATATACTACTTTTTATTTATTCATCAGTTGATGGGCACTTGATTTGTGTTGTTTCCACTTTTTGGCTCTTAAGAATAATGCTGCTCAGGGGTGCCTGGGTGGCTCAGTCAGTTGAGTGGCTGCCTTCGGCGCAGGTCATGATCCTGGAGTCCCAGGATCGAGCCCCGCATCGGGCTCTCTGTTCAGTGGGGAGTCTGCTTCTCCTTCTGCTCCTCACCCCACTCTCGTCCTCACTCTCTCACTCTCTCTCTCAAATAAATAAAAAGATCTTAAAAAAAAAAAGAAAATTGCTACTCAGAACATTTGTGTGCACGTTTTTGTATGGATGGATGTTTTTATTTCTCTTAAATATGTACCTAGGAGTGGAATTGCTGGGTCAAATCGTAACTCTGTGTTCAATCATTTGAGGACCAGTCAGACTGTTTTGCATGGTGGCTGCATCATTTTACATTGCCACCAGCAGCGTATGAAGGTTCCAGTTACTCACCAACACTTATTATCTGTCTTTTGCTTTTAGCCATCCTAGTGATGCCAGATGGGCCGAGGTCCTGAGAGGGAGGGCCTCAGGCCTCTTGCTTTGAGTGTTCTTGGCTTTGTGTGAGAAAGAATTCGAGAGCAAGCTGTTTAGAAAAACGGACAAAAATTTATTTAGAAGTGAGAAAGGAGTTACGTCACAGATAAAATAGTGATCTCTTCTCCCAGGTGAGGAAGAGGACCCCCCCTTTGCTTCTAAGAAAGGGTTTTATAAGTTTTAAAATTAGCTAACTCTGTAGGGAGGGGCTTACTCCTTAACTTTGGGTTTATCATTTACATTGGGTAGTTAGTTTTGCCATTGTCTTAGGGTTGTGAAATTACCCACAGGGAGCAATTTTAAGAATGTCCGGCCTTTGTGGCTTTTACTGCCAGAGGGGGTGGGGTGTTGTGGTCTTCCATGAGTCGAATCTTGTGACTCTGTCTACTACCTGCTGACTTTTAGGTTAAGGGTCAGTCTAAAACCAGAATGGCTTTACTTTGATCAGCTCGTCTCCTGAGTTTCCCCGTCCTTCCTACCTCACTAGTGAATGTGAAGTAGTATCTCTTTGTGGTTATGATTAGCATTTCCCAGATGAAAAATGAAATTGAACATCCTTTCATGTTCTTATCGACCATTTGTTTATCTTCTTTAGAGAAATGTCTCTTCAAATCCTTTGCCATTTTAAATAAATACTGAATGGTAAGAGTTCCTTATATACAGGCATAACTTGGATATATTGAAGGTTTAGTTCCAAATGATGGCAATAAAGTGGATATTGCAATAAAGCATGTCAAATAAATTTTTTGATTTCCCAGTGCATATAAAAATTATATTTACACTATACTATAGTCTGTTAAGGGTATAATAGCATTGTATCTTAAAAAAAGCACTGTATATGTTTTGATTAAAAAATAATTTATTGCTAAAATATACAAACCATCATGTGAGCTTTCAGTGAGTTGTAATCACTGATCACAGATCACTATAACAAATATAATAATAATGGAAAAGTTTGAGATATTGCAAGAATTACCAAAATGTGATACACAGACACGAAGTGAACAAGTGCTTTTGGAAAAATGGTACCAATAGGCTTGCTCAACACAGGGATGCCACAGACCTTCAATTTGTAAAAAAAAAAAAACAACATTTGCCAAGTGCAGAAAAGTGAAGCATAATAAAATGAGGTATGCCTGTATTCTAGATACATGTTCCTTATCACATATTGGATTTGGAAATATTTTTTTCTCAATGGGTGGCTTGTTTTTTTTTATTTTTTTAACAGTGTCTTTTGGAGCACATAAGTTTATAGTTTTGATGGTGTCCAGTTTATCTTTTTCTTGTTGATTGTGCTTTTGGTGCCATAAAGATCATTGCCTAAACCAAGGTCATGAAAATTTATGTGTATATTTTCCTCTAAGAAGGTACATATATGACAGTTTTATCTCTTATATTTAGGTCTTTGATCCATTTTGAGTTAATTTTTGTGTGTAATTATCAGGTAGGTGTTCAAATTGATTCTTTCAGGGGCGCCTGGGTGGCTCAGTCATTAAGCATCTGCCTTTGGCTCAGGTCATGATCCCAGGGTCCTGGGAATCGAGCCCCACATCGGGCTCTCTGCTTGACGGGAAGCCAGCTCTCCCTTTCCCACTCTCCTTGCTTGTGTTCCCTCTCTCACTGTCTCTCTCTCTCTCTCTGTCAAATAAATAAATAAATAAAATCTTTAAAAAAAATTACTTCTTTCATATGTGCATCTCCAGTTGTCCTAGCGCCATTTTTTTGAAAAAATGATTCTTTCCATGATTTAATTGTTTTAGCGTCCTTGTCAAAATTCAGTTTACTATGAATGTGAGGGTTTATTTCTGGATGTTAATTTTTTCGCACTGATTTTCACTGTTTAGTCTAATGCCAATACCACACTGTCTTGAGTATTGTAGGTTTTGAAATTAGGAAGTGGGAGTTCTCCAGCTTTGTTCTTTAATTGTTTTGATTTCAATTTTTAGGGATTGTGGTTTTTGAAATTTAGTTTTATACATATATAAAATATTTTCACAATTCTGAATTTGAGTCTACAAAACAATTTACAAAGAAGTCTAGCTTCTATTCCTATCCCCTCTGCCCTTTCCTTCCTTGCCCCCTTTTTTATGGGTTGTCTGTTTTTAAAAGTAAAAGCAAATTCATGTATGTGTGAATAGATCTCTGTGTGTGTATATTCTTATCTCCCATCTTTTGAGAGATAAATGGTAGCATACAATTTATACTTCTCTCCACCTTGCTTGTTCCAATTAACATTATGTCCTGGTGTTTACTCCATATTGCATGTAGACATATTTCCCATTCGCTTTTATAAGTTGTGTACTACTAGATTGTGTGATATGCAGTCATTTATTTAGCTAGTCTCCTTTCGGGATTCTTTCTTTTTTTTTTTTTTTTAAAGATTTTATTTATTTATTTGATTATTTCTAGTCTTTTGCTTTTACACATATTTTTGTTGTGAATAACCCTCTGCACTTCTTTTTATATCTTTGTCAGTGTATCTTTGGATAATCCGATTTTGCTAGATGTTGCAAAACACTCCTTTAGTGGGGTTGTGCCGTGCTGTCATTTCACCAGTATTGTAGGAAATGCCCATTTTTCCCACAGTCTTACTATCACTACATGTTCACTGACTTTTGTATTCTTCCCCCATTTGATAGGCAAGAAATCATGTCTTTGTGTGGCTCTATTTTATGGATCTCTTACAAAGAAGGTTGAGGTTTTTTTTATATATATAAATGATTAAGAGTCAATTGGGCACCTGGCTGGCTTAGTTGGTAAGAGTATGAGACTCTTGATTTTGGGGTCATGAGTTCGAGTCCCTTGTTGGGGATAGAATTTACTTAAAAAAAAAAAGGGGGGCCAGTTGCATCTATTTCTGTGAACTGTCATAGCTCTACCCATTTTTATATTGTGTTACTGGTCTTTATTTTTAAAAGATTTTATCTATTCATTGTGTTAACATTTATCACTGAATCATCAATGCTATGTATAGCTGTTTTTTACTGGGCTGAGAGACTCCTTGTAATAAAAAGTTTGAATCCACATTTTGATGTTTGATTGCTGACAACTTTTTTAAACCTCACCTCTCCCTCTTTTGCCCCATATAAAGCTTCCCAGCAGGTCTGAAAATGGCTGGAGAGAGCAAGGAAAGGAGGCTGGGTTGGGATTTCTCAGTTGGCTGGGATTAGGGCTGGGGTGAGGGTTCGCCTTCACTGATTAAATATCTGTCAGCACCAAAGGAGGGAGCACTTGGGTTTTCTCATCAGCTTCCTTCTCTGGCAGGCGACAGCCAGGGCACGACTGAATTTGTTAGCTGTTGGCTTCCGGATGGGCCCTACCTAATCTCTTTGGGACACCATGCCAGAACAGTCTCTCTCTACTCTCTGAAGGCCAGGCTGGGTCTCTGGCTTGGCTTTGGGCCTAGTGTGATTTGAAGAAAGGATATCAAGGGAGAAAAAGAAGAATGAGTTGAGGGGAGAATGTCTTTATATCTGTAAAAGAGCTGATAAATAGGCTCTTAAGACATCTCTGATAAATGTTTGACAAGGTGGCTGCATTGATGGCCAGCAGTCCTGTGACAGCATTATTTCCCAGGATGCTTTTGAGAGAAAGCTCATTGGTTAATAGGGCATTTTGCCTTTGATCCTTAATAATTTAATCAAAGGACAATACATCTGTTCTAGGGTCCATTATAATCCCTTGTTTTAAGGCCAGTTAGAAGACTTGTGATTGCCAAGGAAAGACTTTTGACTTAATCAGTTTAGAGCTTGAGGCTTGGATTTGACTGTACTTTGTGTTAGAATTGAGGCCTTTGAATTTTGAAATTGGTCTTAGAGCTGAAACCATAAAAAATTTCAATCTTGGTAAGGATCGGTCTAACATTTTAAGTGCAGTTGGGACTTGGAGCTATATAACGTGTAAAATGGAATGATTACTTGATTTCAATTGATACTGGTAAATTTGTGATAGATAAAGAAAGTAGCAAGAGGTTCCTGGATAAGTTTCTCAAAGAGCCACTAGGAGACCTTAAATTTCACCAAACTCTTTACCATGTCTTTGTGTGATAAGATTAATGGTATTAATTTTCTTTTTGCTGTTTTCTGCCATGATTGTATATTACTTTCTCATCCTTTCATTAAAAGTGCTTGACAGATTTTTACTTTAATAATTTTGAAATTTGTCTTTTGAATTTTGAATAAACTTTTGCAGATTTTTGGAAAAATGAAGAAGGAATTTATGTGATTCACATATCATAATAATTTTTATTTATTTATTTATTTATTTATTTATTTTCCCGATTGGGGTTTTACTATGCAGGAAAACAAAAACCAAGGAATATAGTCCATTTCAGTCTTCATGGTTCAAGTAAAAAAAGTTCTCATTATTCAGGTACACACTTTGGCCAAGCCAAGTTTAGCTTTATCACATTTAAAAAATTCATGTATAAAAAATAAGTATCAGTCCAAAATATAGATTATTTTAAGAGCCTGCAGGAAATAGAGAAATAATTAAATTTGGTGGAAATGTTAAAACTGCCTGAAATTCAGAAAATGTAATATTAATGTATTGTATGAAACATTATTGTTAGGAGCAACTGCACTCAGGGATAGTTTGTTTTGCTGTTTATGTTTAGACCAGAGGAACTCAACATGGATCTCTTAATTCATGTTACTAAGAGGGGCCCTTCAAGTGCTCCCTTCCCTCTGCCCAGCACTCCAAAAACCCTCTTGTGGTCCTATTGCCCCAGCCTTTTGAAGCAGCATAATGGCCAGCCATTCTAGAATTGTAGAGCTTTTTGGAAATTATTCTTTTAAGGGAATAAGTCTTTAAGAATTACTGGTTCAGACATACATGCCTCATAACAGTCTAGATTGCTTCAAAATATGAATTAAGCTGTAATTAAATTTTTTATGTTTAATTTTAAACCTTAAATTTATGTATGAGTAAGACCCAATATTTTAATGAAAGTAGGAAAATAGTATATAGTATCATCTGTTTGTCTCAAATACAAGTACAGTGAGTAATAATGGGAATGACAACATAACAGAATAGCACTTGTATATATTTGCCCAAACTGAATTAACTTTCTCTAAATTCAAGGTGTACGCAGGTTGAATATTTGATCTTAGTGACTGTTACGCTATCAGTTCAATGCTTAAACACTGAAGGAGGCATTTCTTTATTCACACAGCCTTTTTATGTATGTATATGCTCATCTGTAAATAGTTTTCATGTTTGGTATCTAATTACTAAATATGTGTATTTCAAATTAGTCTGTGTGACCCTGTGTTCTTCTCTTCAGAAGCATCAGTAATACATTTGGCCAATAGTTTGAAATATGAACTGTAAATTAACATAGCATATAATCTTGATAATATGAAAAGAGTCCCAAATACTTTTTTGAAATGTTAACATTAGAAAAAAACAAAACTACAATCATCAGCTCTATTTCCTGAAAATTCAGTTGAGGTAACCTCTGCAAGTCACAGCTCCACACTTGCACACAGTTCTGACTCTCTTTTTGGCTGGGCTGTGGTCAACAGAATCTGAAGATATATCTCCAGAACCTTTCATTTGATAATCAGAGGTGAGCTCTTCTCCAGCATTTATGGTTCTTGTGGAAAATAATGCTATTTGGGGAAGACGGGTGTCAAGGTTGTCAATAAAAACATTGAACACCTGAAGATTTGGGTCACAACTGTGATTCACAAAATGAGAGACATTTCCATATCGGGCTGCATCCACTGTGAATTCATCAGATTCATAATCCAGATCAAAGAGATATGTGATTCCCTTGTTGTCATATAACTGCCCCCGTCTTTCAGCTTCTTCACTTGTGATTACCTCTCCAACATATTCCATGACAAAACTCATTCTTTTAATCTTCACAAGGGTTTTTACACCCCAGCCACAGCCATTGCTAGTTCGAAAGATGCAAAGAGAATACTGGGTGCCTTTTTGTACAATCCTATTGGGACAGTCGGGTCCACATTGACACCTTGAGTTGCATTCATAAATGGGGGTACCAGATGGGATTTTAATTTGCTGGTTTTTATTATAAGCCAAAAGAACTCCAGCTTCAGCAGGATATTTCTCAAAGAAGCAGTCTGTACCTGAACAACCAAAGATAGCTTCATTGACTAAGCTGATTCCAGGAGCTGGTTTGTATTCATTAATGTAGTAGAAGTCTGAAGGTAGGCCCTCTAAGTCAACAGTATTTTCAACAAAAATCATTCCTTTATGATTCTTTCTTCTCTTGAGTTCATCTTGCCATCTCTGCAGAGCTCCCCTTTGTTTGGCCTTCTTTACAATGTATTTGGCAACGGCAGGTTTCAAAGCTTTGTTATTGTCTTTTAGAGATATTGCTTTGCCTTTGTTTACCAGAGATAAATAATTATGCTTGTCATTAGAGAACTGTTGAAGTAGTAATGGGCACTTGAGATTTTACAAAGGTTCCCAAGTATTTGTAGAATCTGGCCATCCTTTCCATTTTACAAGATAATACTCCATATCCTCCGCACCTCAGCCCCAGCCTCCGCCATCTTGAGGAGCTTTCATTCCTATATATTCTTTTAAAAGCTGTTCATATGTTGTTTTTAGCCATAGGATTTATACTTGCTTTGATGAATACATGTTACATTTGTTGTTATATGGTAGGGATTCTGAATGAAAAAATGGCAATTCATTTATATATAAATATAAAAGCTGCTCTAGATAAGTAATTAATGATTTATTTAAACATTGGCTCTCTTGGCAGGTTCGGTGGCCAAGAACTTCTTCACCAAATCAAAGCTTTCCATTCCAGAACTCTCCTACATATGGTAAGTATAATTAATGCCATATTAGTATTATAGTGTCATTACATACCCATTCCTTAGCTCCTACTTTTGCATTTTGAAAGTCTTATCTTTTGAATGTTTTCTCTTTTAAGATTTTATTTATTTATTTGACAGAGAGAGAGCACAAGCAGGGGGAGCTGCAGGCAGAGGGAGAGGGAGAAGCAGGCTCCCCGCTGAGCAGGGAGCCCGATGCGGGGCTCGATCCCAGGACCCTGGGATCATGACCTGAGCCGAAAGCAGATGCTTAACCAACTGAGCCACCCAGGCTCCCCTTGAATGTTTTTTTTAAAAAGGATTTATTTATTTATTTTAGAAAGCACAAACGGGGAGGGGCAAAAGAGGGAAAGAATCTCAAGCGACTCCCCACTGAGTGTGGAGCCTGACACGGGCTCAATCTCACGACCCTGAGATCATGACCTGAGCTGAAATCAAGAGTCAGACACTTAACTGACTGTGCCCCCCGGGGGCCCCTTGAATGTTTTTTTAACAAACTAAGAGAGTGAATAGAACTTAAGATTTTTGTTGCTCTGAAGTTATTATAACTATATTATATATATTATTATATTATATATACGTTATATGAAAGAAGTTATTATATATAAGTTATAAGTTATATGAAAAGCACAATGTTCAGTGTGTGGTGCACTGTATCTGTTAGCTGTTATTTAAAAATTAATTTCACAATTATTATCCTCCTCTAGATCCCTTTCCTGTCTAAACAATTGTGTGGGCATATGAGCATTCCCATCTTGGGAATTTTATTTTCAGATATTTCTACTTGATAGGATGCAAGTAACCAGAGGATCTTGAAAAACTCTTCTTTAAAATATTTTATGAGGCCAGGTGAACAGAAGGTCCACAAATGTTTTGGAATTAAGTCAAATTTGACTATTCTAGCTGCCTCTGAGCTTCATCAGTTTGGCTGGTGTTTATCAGCTGGGCCCTAGTTCAGGCTTGCAGCTGTGGTGCGCATTGCATCTTGCTGCTGTGCCGGCTGCAGCCCATGCTCCAGAAGGGCTGTACCGGGACGGTCCAGATGGCTGATTTGCGTTTATGAGAACGCTCGGTGTCTCTGTAAACTCCCGGCTGTGTGTGGGCTCTTCTTCCTCAAGCCTAGGGAGGGGAGACCACGCTGATATAAATATATAATTAAAACATTGGAATATTTATGTAAGACTTTTTTCACGAGGATTTACAAAAATTATGGCAGGATTTAAAATTGCTTGTCATGTTTTGTGCATTTTATTGGAAAACTATTCCAGTAACACTTGTGCGTGCCAGTGTATCTGGGATTCTGAGCTGGATTTAGCTTCTTTAGCAATATATTCTAGCATAATTCTTTTTTTTTTTTTTTAACAACAAGCCTTATATTAGATTTTAAAGCTGGGGGGGGGAAGGAATTATCATTTTGAAAAGAAGACACTCTGTTTTGGCAGAATTCCCAGTCTTAACATTATTGGCATGAGGCTTCCTATCTTTTTGTTGAGACATACCCATGAAAGCTGAATGGTATTCTCTCCACCCAGCGTTTGAAACCGTTCCCTGACTTCTCACCCTGGGGAGCTGCTTTCAGGGCTGGTGTATTCTAAATATTGAAGGGGAGGAGAATGTGAATGGTCCAGAGGAAAGTTAGGGAGCTTACCTTCTGTATTTCTTCTTTGAAATAGTGATACCTTTCCAGCACGGTTTTATATCTATGTCTTATACACCTAAGAGACTGGTTGATCTTAGTTACTTTGGCAAATAGGTTTCTTTTGTGCTGAGTAAACAGGTCTGTGCCTTTCAGTGGGAAACACTGACTGAAGCAAAGATAAGCCTTTTCAAGACTCTTCCTTTTTTCCTTTCTGTCTTATCTGGTTCCAGCCTTCCCAAGTTGCTGGTTTTATCTGAAAACATAATTCAACCAGTATTTATTATTACTATTATTATTTTTGTAAAGATTTTATTTATTTATTTGGCAGAGAGAGAGAGCGCGAGAGAGGGAACACAAGCAGGGGGAGTGGGAGAGGGAGAAGCAGACTCCCTGCAGAGCAGGGAGCCCGATGCAGGACTCCATCCCAGGACCCTGGGATCATGACCTGAGCCGAAGGCAGACGCTTAACGACTGAGCCACCCAGGCGCCCTATCAAGCAAATTTTTGATACAACATTTATGTGACTTAAAAAGTTCAGGGTTCTTCCTTAAAGCTGAAAAATTAAGTGCTCATTTCTGAGCTTGGGTAACTGTATAATGGCTGGGACAACTGTAAAAAGGTTGAGGCCAGCCCTTCCTCTGACTATTGTGAGTGCCAGGTCTGGAGCTCTTCACACCACCCATTTACTGAATGACTGTCGACTAATGAATTCTGAGCCTTATTTTCCTTTTTGTGCTATAGTTTCTTGTCTTGTGTGCTCAGTGTTGTAAAACAGACCTGCCAGAGAACCTGAAGAGTGTAAAGTTTTGTTTATAAAGTGGTGCTGGTACCAGTGCTGTTGATCAGCCGTCGTCCTCCAAGTGCTCCCTGAGATTTCATAGGAGTTTGGAGACTTTGCAGGGCCACCACCAGAGAGCCTGGGAGTTGTGTTTGCATATTTTTTTTTTAAGATTTATTTATTTATTTTTTTAATTTGAGGTGGGGAAGGGGCAGAGATGCAAGTGGGGTGGGGAAGGGGCAGGGGCAAAGGGAGAGGGAGAGGGAGTCTTAAGCAGACTCTGCACTGAGCACAGAGCTGGACATGGGTCTCCATCTCAGGACCCTGAGATCATGACCTGAGCTGAAACCAAGAGTCGGATGCTTAACGGACTGCGCCACCCAGGTGCCTCATGTTTGCATATTTGAGGCTGAGTATCTTTTCCTCTAAGCCCCATGTTAGGTGCTTGTGACATGTTATATTTAGGGAACTTAGTGATGCTGACTGCGATGGAGCCCTGACCCTGCCTGAGTTCTGTGCTGCGTTTCATCTCATTGTGGCTCGGAAAAACGGTTACCCACTACCTGAGGGCCTGCCTCCGACTCTGCAGCCAGAGTACCTGCAAGCAGGTAAGGCCTCATCAAAGTCCTAAACCTTTGACATTTTCCATCCAGGCCTTATTATAAGCACTTTTTGTGCCTTAAGGTGGTATCCAGGCACTTTGCGGAGTCTTTTGTGTCTAAAGTTCTTTAACCGATATTAGCCTTTCACATCTTACGATATAAGTAATAGGGATGATGTGGGTAAGTGTGAGTCATCTGTTATTCCCATTCTATTGTTCTCTGGATGGATTTGAACCAGTCACTTACCCTTTCATGAAAATTGTGGAGTAGGCAAGTACTGAACTTCCTAGCTGATATAAAATGAAGAGAAAGATCTTCCTGTAGAGCCAAGTGCTGACTTGGCATTTTTAGGTACATCCTAGTGTCCCCAAGTGGCCTGGGGCAAAGGAATGGAATGGAACTCTTATACCTAATGAAGTTAAAAAATTACATGCCAGGAAATGTACAAAGCGCTGAGATCGTAATGTACCCTTGAAAAATTTTTACATCTGTATACATCTATGTAACTGCAATCAGATAGAGATATAGAACATTTGGCACACCACAAGGTTGGACTAGAACTCTTTGTCTTTCTCCTTAATAAAGCTATTACCCCCAGACCCTTTCAATAAGAAAGAGTCATCGTGAGTCTAACATTTATATCAATTCTTTTGGAAGATTAAGTGTCTCTTGCCCTTTTCAAAGGCAATGGGCACTGAAAACGATTTCTGTTACTCAGAGAAATATAGCTTCCATTGAAAGGGTCCAGAAACAGTTGGTGCTGTCAATAAGCTTTCTCAATTTTTAGGGAAGGCCTCTTAAAAACATGAGACCTCTAGTTATGGATGATTATTGGCAAGGAGGAGCAATGTCTAAAGAAACTGAATAGTCTTTAACAGAGTACACATTTCATGTTTAGATTTGAAAAAGGCCCTAGTTTCTCATGTCTTGTCCCTTATAACAACACTAGATTTAAAGTGGCCAGTGACTTATCTAAGTCAGTCTTGGGGTCTCTGACTCTTAAATAAAAAGTCTGTCATTTTCTGTATTTGGTAGTGAGTGGGCCAAAGCTCAACCAAAGGGAAGAGACCAAGTGTGTGGCCAGTGCCAGTGGCAGGTAAACATGTTGGGGGGAAGAGTGACCCATTCTGGGATCTTCCCCAAATGCCTCCATAAAATGTATGAAGGGGAAAGTTCAGGCAGTAGAGGCTACTACTAATTTCAGAGCTTAGACTTTGCAAATAGCAGCTGCTTTCTGACTGCAGCAGGATGTAACTCCAGCCTGCTACCCTTCCTTCCAGGCTGGGGGCGACCCTCATGGGTCCCCAGGAACCAGTTTGCAATTGGGCAGCATGGCAAACAGCTCTATTTCTACTTTGGTGACTATCTCACCATCTTTTTTCTCTCTGTTCCTCCTGGATTGAGGCAAAGAAGAGCTAACATCCTTGGGGCTATCTTGGCAAGGGTGTAGCTTTCATAACCAAGTCAGTATCAGGTCATCCAGGAGCCCCTTCTCCTGGGAGCAGGGCCACATGGAGCTTTGTCTCTCTTTCATGGGGATGAACAGCTGACCAGAGGGCAAAGGTCTGCTCCCAGGCTATTTAGTTACATTTAATACTGTCACTGTTTCCTATTGCGAGCCCTGGGCAGAGTCCTGGGTAACCTTATTTCCCCAACCCACACTTAGCTTTCTGTTTTTGGGTCTTGATGAATGCTGTTGTACTGTTCTGATGCCCTATGGCCATGGAACCTCTGCCAGGTGTCATGACTCCTTGTTTGAGGAGTCACTTTGTAGGTATCCAAGTATTTCATGGATTGTTTCAAAAGCTACTGATAAAATTTAAAAAAAATCTGAAAGCCCTGTGCAAAAAGTGTGTTAACAGAAGACAAGTAGCTTCCTTTGATTCCTTCACTGCTGCAAATGGCTGCTTTTGCCTTGCTTATGCAGTAGCGGGGAGTCTGTAAAACAGAATGCCAGTCAAGAGGCATCTTCCTTTCATTTGGAATGAAGCCCCGTGTGTGTTCCTGATCTTTTGTGGAGGCTGTCAGCATGCATCTAGACAGAAACAACTGAAGAATTCATCACATACCCTTCAATTAAACAAAACTGCACGTCGTTTCCAGAGCTTGTGGGATTCATCTTAAATAATAATTATACAGTTCTAACAAAAACCATGAGAGACCTCATAAAACTCCCATCAAACTCAGTGATGGTATATTTTAGGCAAACCCTGCGGGTTTAACAGTTAACTTTTTAATGTTTATCGCTCATGTTTATTTTTGTATATAGCTCAAGAAAATGGCCAGAACTGTCTAGGTTTTCTCTGTACTTTTAGACTTTGCATATATGAGTGATTCTGTTCATTTTGGGGGTTCATTTTTATGGTATCCCACTTGGCTTTTTTAAAAGCTTACCTTTTGTTGCAATTTTTTTTCTGATCTACATTCAGTCTTAGAAAAATCTAATCCAGTTTTCAATAAGATTGGTGAAGAGTATAAATTTGGTTGATACCATCATGCATTTACAATTATACAAGCTTGTTTTCAATAAAATAAACAAATTGTTGTATCTGATTTTTTTCTCTAATAGTGGAAATTAATGGACACAGTTGGAAGGAAAAGTTGGATTACTTGGTAGCTTACCCATGGGCCTTTGATATTTTCCTGTCTAGGTGACTGCGTGGATTGTGGTATAGATTTTTACTGTAGAGTTTGTTAAAAATAATTGAGCACTGTGTTACTCTCGCTGGTCAAAATGCTGTATAGAAGAGCATTCTTACCGTCATGGAACTTGCTGGCAGTTAGAGGATCGATGTTCAATAAACTCATGTACTTGTAATTGGAGGCAGTGATAGGTGCTGTGGAGAAGCACAGCTGCAGCAAGAGGGTGTATGACCTTGGGGAAGACTTCCTTAAATACTTGAGCTAGGATGTGAAGGATGGGCTAAGGGCTATGTAGGTGAAGAAGGGGGCAAGAGTAGGCTCTGGGCAGAGGGGGCAGCGGGTATGCTGCAGAGGCCCTCAGAGGGGACTTGGAGCACAGGAGGCATGGAAAGTGCAGGTCACAGCAGCTGGAGTGCTAGGAGCTAGAGCTGGAGGGGCTGGGGATGAGGATGAAGAGGAAGGTACGGAACAAACCATGGGCAATGACGTTGATGGGTTTTAAGCAGGGAAGTGCCACAGAGTTGCTGTCGGAAAGGATTATGCTGGTTGCTGATTGGAGAGCAGGTTTTGAGGAGCAGGGGTGCAAACTCAAAGACCAGGTTATGGCAGCAGTCCAGTCAGATCCACAGGGGGCTGGCACTAGGGAGGTGACAGTGGAGTTGGAGAGATGGGGACAGGCTAGAGAGAAATTTAGCAGTTAACAATGGCATTTGTAGGTTTGGAAAGTGTTAGGTTTCTCTGTAGCAAGACCCTCTCATGATAAAGCTTAAGTCATGTAATTCTAGTCAAATCAACTGATTGGTAAAGTAGAAGCAGAAATCTTAAACCTGCTCGTGTGGCCGGATTGTGGAATGGTACTTGGAAAGGTGTTTTGCTGAGTTTTTACCAGGGAAATGAGACTAAGCGGTATAGTCAGAAAAAATCGCCAGCGCCCGAGATTTGCCCTACTTGATATTGTTGCAGGATCGCAGGGTTCTTGTCTCATAGAGTCGAAGAATGACCTCTCAGACACAAAGGAGTGAAGTGAAAGTTTATTAAGTAAGGTGAGAACAGAAAGGAAAGAAAAAGCTCTCTAGAATGAGAGGGGTCCTGAATGGGTTGCCACTGAGGGCTTTTAGGCCGGTCTTTTATTGAAAACTTGACCCAGGGAGCTTGTGGCCTTGAGATTCTTGGGCCATCTTGGTCTGAGCAGGGACTATTGATAACACCCTTAATGACTGACTTCTTTGAGGTTTGGTCAATTTCTGTGATTACACTGTAGCTGCCAAAGAAAAATATTGTCTCACATCCGGGGCCAGATGGTCTGGTCTACTCCCTTATCTCTTGTTCACTCTTTCAGAGCCTAGTCAAGGGCCCCCTATCTCTCCCTGCCTATACCTTAACCCTCTCCTTACTCAATATCAGTGAAATTCAGACCAAAGTAAGCAAACGAACAATTTAAGGTGCTTGTACTAAACTGCATGTGGTAGCTGTTAGTGGCCAGTACTTTACTGCAGAGGGAAGGTGGCATTTCAAACTCTGGTGGGGGTGGGAGGGTGAGAAAGGATTAAAAATAATGCCAGTCCATTTTTAACATTTGATTAAAAAAATTGTTTAAATGTGGCATTAAAATTTTGATTTCTTAATATCTGGTCTTGACAAATTTGTAGCTTCTGGTTATTGTCTACCATGATCTGCTTTTTCCTCCTTGAGATATTGACCAATTTCCTGGTTGTTGAGACATTTCTTTCTTAATTACTTTGTGACAAAGTGGTGAAACAGAATCTGCTTCTCAGAAATGGTGTGTTGAGTATTAGTTTACCAAGTAGCATAATCCACTCGGCTACCCAGCTAACATAGCAGCTTCTGTCACTGTTCTATGTTAGAAGAAACCCAAAATGTGATTCTTCTCTCCTTGTTGTAAATCAGCAAGAACTTGTGCTCTTGTTTTTGTTATTTCTAATAACCAAAAGAAAAGAGTATTTTATAAAGTCTTCTTGGTCCCCTATCATTAAAAGATCATGTCTATTTCAAACAATAATAGCTAAAATGAAGTATTTCCTTAGTTAATGTTTATAGCATTAAAACTATCACCAGCTACTGCCATTTAAAAATTAATGCTGGTAGCATAGTTAAAATGTAAAGTATTGTGATAGTGAAGGTTACTACTATGTTACAACGTAAATGCTGACAGTTCAAGTCCCTGGTCTTGCACTTACCAGCTATATGACCTTGAGTAAGTTGCTTAACTTCCCTGCTCCTTAGTTTCATCATATGTAAAATGGGGATGATAGAAATAGTAGGTTGTGTATGTGAAGAACTTAAAACAATACCTCGGCATGATTACTGCCATAAGTAGTGTATTGGTGCTGGCAGATTTTGTTGTTATATTTCCTAAGCACAGAAGAGCTGATAGGAAACAATGCCTGCTGTGAATATAGTATATATTCTTATGTATTTTTGTTTCTTCTTAGCCTTTCCTAAGCCCAAGCGGGAGTGCACGCTGTTTGATTCTTATTCTGAGTCAATGCCTGCGAACCAACAACCCCGTGACTTGAATCGGATGGAGGTAAAAGATCTTCATATGCTAATAAATAAGGATGTGTGTGGAATTAAAATCCATTAGCCTGTGTTCTTTACAAACTCTAGAAAATCCACTTTCATAACATTTTCTCTTCATGCCAAGTCCTTATGTTGAGGCTCAGCCTTTCAAATCTAGACACCAGATATATCTATAATTACTTTTTTCCTTTTCTTCCTAGAACTAGATTTAGTGAAATAAGCAAAGTAGTCTCTTGACCTTCTAGGGGTGAAATGTAGGTGTAGACAAAGTAAGCCAGAAAAATGCTAGGCAAGTTGTTTATTTTAACCAAGCTTTAATTTTGAAGTAAATGTAGGAAAGTATTTTTAGTAACTGAGTATGAACAAGGTTTAATGGACCCAGAATAGTTTTAAGAGGAAGTTTGAGAACTGTGTAAGAGGATCCCAAAATACAATCAAAGCTGCCTTCTCCCTCAGGGTTTTTAGTGTTGGGACCAAATGAAGACTGATTTGGATTATCCCCAAGAGAAATCTGTAGAATTCCTACAGTGTTGGGCCATTGATGTAAGGTCCTAGCCACATGCTTAGGTATGCATCAATAAATAGGAGTCATTATGGTTATTGTTAATGTCAGCACACTCTTCATCATCATCATCACTGTTACGATTGCTGTGATGACACCTTATGATAGCTGCTGTTCCCATCCTAAAAAAAAGTCTGGAAATGTGTAATAAATGGAGGTTTATTCATAGGCTGCTATTATAGTCCCCTGACCCTGGTTAAAACTGTTGCAAGATGATGGAAGTGAGATGCAGGATACAGGGCCATTTCTTTGATTTCTTGCAACTGTGTGTGATTATTTATTTTTTTCCACGGGGCTCTCATGCATATAGTCTGTGTTGCAGTGACATCCTCTGTTCCGCTGTGATGGAATCAGCCTGCTTCTGCAATGTTCCCTCTGATAACACCTCTCTTGGCCTCTCTCCTACTCTTTCTTTGAGTCAGAGCCTCTGTTACTTTCCTTAACAGATTTCTACTCATGGGAAATAGGTATAAAGTGACATCAGGAAGAGTGATAAATGTGCATTTGAAGCGTTTTAGGTTTTTAAATTTCTTTTTTTTAAGAATGTGTATGACGGAGAAACAGATAACAATAATTAGCCACTTTTCCCGACCCTCTGTATACTCTGGGGCTGCTGGCAATGTCTGGAGACTTAGGCAGTTGCCCTGTTTTTGTTTGTTTGTTTGCTGTGGGTCCCTTTGCTTGTGTAAAATTATGAGGTTGATTTATTGAAAAATGTCATAAATTCTTATTCTTTCTCAATAAATGTTATGTTTCAACTTGCCACGGTATCAGGTGGCCTTTGCCCTTCTAACAGAAACAAATAATGCTGTGTTTTAGAGAAATTAATTACTGGCCTGTGTTGCTTTCTCCCATGTAGTCATTTATCATCTGTCTAAAAGGAAAGGAGCCAATACAGTTGGCTGTGAAGTCTGTAAACGGAGATACTTTTAGACACATGCACACTCTGATGTCCTTGATGACATTATGGATATTCACCTTTATGGACGTGATGTGCAGCTAGTTTTATGTTAGATACTTTTGTATACTTTAAACTGGCTCTTTTGATGGGGGTTGGTGGTAGTTAAAATTCTTTGCTTTGCCCTGTCCAAACAAGAAAGCAAAACAACACCCACCACCACCACCACCACAACAACCACAACAATGACTCTTTCCCCACAAAGTTGTTATATTCTAGGGTGAGGTGCTTTTACATAGTCATGTAATAATATACAGAATTCAAGGACGAAGTAATGAGGTTAATTGAGGCTTTGGCCATTCTGGAAGTGTAGGTCAAATTTTAGTAGCTAATGATTAAATATTTCATTTTCTTCTATTTTATTCATTATTCTTTCTACCAATCTTTTAATCTCTCATGAATGCATACATGGGATTTAAATAGATCTTGGTACTAGTCCTGTGAGGGATGGCTCCATATAGGTGTTTGTGCTGTGAATGAAGCTGTAGCTGATTCAGGTCATGAGAACTTTGCTCAGCAGTACAGATCAGATCTCTAGACAGCAGAGCTGTAACCATGTACTTGTTTCCTTCAAGAATTAAAGATTATAATTTCAGGTAAAGCCCTCTTTAGCAGTGCTTCTTAGATTACTAGATTTCTTTCTTTTGTAAACAGCTTTACTAAAATATAATTCACATACTCAACTAAAGTATACAATCCGGTGGTTTTTAGTGTATTAACAGAGTTGTGCAACCATCAGTATAGTCTTATTTTAGAACGTTTTTCATCACTCCAGAAAAGAAAGCCTGTACTCATTAGCACTCACTGACTGTCCTCCCTTCCCCCCAGCCTCTGGTGATCAGTAATCTATTTTCTGTCTCCGAATTTGCCTATTGTGGATATTTTGTATAGAATCATAGACTATATGGGGTTTTTTTTGGTGACTGCTTTCTTTTGTTTAATATAATGTTTCATTTTAAAAAAAATTTATTTGAGAGAGAGAGCAAGTGAGCACAAGCAGGGTAAATGTCAGAGGGAGAAGCAGACTCCCTGCTGAACAGGGAGCCTGATGTGGGGCTCGATCCTGGAACTCCAGGATCATGACCTGAGCCGAAGGCAGATGCTTAAGGGACTGAGCCAGCTGGGTGCCCCTAGTATAATGTTTCAAAGTTTGTTCATGTTCTAGTATGTATCAGTGCTTCATTAGTTTTGCTGAGTAGTGTTCCATTGTGTGGATCTGCCACATTTTGTTTGTCTGTTCTTCAGTTGATGGACATTTGGCTTGTTCCCACTTTGGAGTTGTGAGGGAAAAAATGCTGCTGTGAACATTCATGTAGTAATTTTTTTGTGAGCACAATGTTTTCAATTCTCTTGGGTGTTTACCTGGGGTGGAGTTGTGTGTCATATTGTAACTTGTGCTTAACTTTTTGAGGTACTGCCAAACTGCTTTCCTAAGCACCTGCAGCATTTTACATTCCTCTACCAGTAATGTATGAGGGGTCCAATTGTTCCACATCCTTATTAACACTTGTTTTTGGGGCACCCGGGTGGGTCAGTCAGTTAAGCAGCCGACTCCTGGTTTTGGCTCAGGTCATGATCTCAGGGTCCTGGGATCGAGCCCTGCGTGGGGCTCCATGCTTAGCGCAAGTCTGCTTGTCTCTCTCCTCTCTCTGTCTCTCTCTCTCTCTCAAATAAATAAGTAAAATCCTTTAAAAAAATACTTGTTATTGTTGTGGTTTTTATTTTAGCCGTCCTAGTGGGAGTGAAGTGGTTGGTATCTCATTGTGGTTTTGATTTAAGTTTCCTAATGACTACTGATGTTGAGCATCTTTTCTTGTGCTTATTTGCTATTTGTATATCTTCTTTGGTGAGATGTCTATTCAAATCTTTTGTCCTTTTATAAATTGGGTTATTATTGAGTTGTAAATATTCTTTATATATTCTGAATATAAGTCCCTTATTCAATATATAATTTGCAAGTATTTTCTTTCTTTGGTTTTTCTTTTTCCTTTTTTTTTAAGATTTTATTTATTTGACACAGAGAGAGAGAGAGAGAGAAAGAACAGGGGAGCAGCAGAGGGAGAGGGAGAAGCAGACTCCCTGCTGAGCAGGGAGCCCGATGTGGGGCTTGATCCCAGGACCCCGGGATCATGACCCAAGCCGAAGGCAGGTGCCCAACCGACTGAGCCACTCAGGCACCCCTCTTTTTCCTTTCTTCTTCTTCTTTTTTTTAAATTCAATTCCTTATTATTATTTTTTTAAAGATTTTACTTATTTATTTATCAGAGAGAGAGAGCACAAGCAGGGGGAGTGGCAGGCAGAGGGAGAAGCATGCTCCCCGCTGAGCAAGGAGCCCGATGTGGGACTTGATCCCAGGACCCTGGGACCATGACCGAGCTGAAGGCAGACACCCAACTGACTGAGCCACCCAGGCATCCCCTCTTTTTCCTTTCTTGATAGTGACCTCTGTAACACAAATGTCTTTTATTTTAACAAGGTCTATGTCTCTTTTCTTCTTTTGTTGCTTGTGCTTTTGGTGTCATATCTAAGAAACCATTGCCTAACAGAAGATCATGAAGATTTACTCCTATGTGGTCTTCTAAGAGTTGTATAGTTTTAGATCTTATATTTAGGTCTGTGATCCAGTTTGAGTAAATTATCATGTATGCCATGAGGAAGAGGTCCACCCTCATCCTTTTTTTTTTTTTTCTTAATTTTTTGACAGAGGGAGAGACAGTGAGAGAGGGAACACAAGCAGGGGAAGTGGGAGAGGGAGAAGCAGGCTTCCTGTGGAGCAGGGAGCCTGATGCAGGGCTCGATCCCAGGACCCTGGGATCATGACCTGAGCCAAAGGCAGACGCTTAACGACTGAGCCACCCAGGCGCCCCCATCCTTTTTTTTTATGTCAAAGATATATTTATTTATTTTAGAGAGAGAGAAAGAGAGCGGGGGGGGGCAGGGAGGAAGAGGGAGAGAGAGTGTCTTAAGCAGATTCTGTGCTGAGTGTGGAGCCTGATGGAGGGCTTGATCTCATGACCCTGAGATCATGATATGAGCCAAAACCAAGAGTCGGATGCTTAACAGATTGTGCCACCCAGGCACCCCCACCTTCATTCCTTTGTATATGGATATCCGGTTATTTCAGAATCATTTATTGAAAGACAATTTTCGGGCGCCTGGGTGGCTCAGTTGGTTAAGCCACTGCCTACGGCTCAGGTCATGATCCTGGAGTCCCGGGATCGAGTCCCGCATCGGGCTCCCTGCTCGGCGGGGAGTCTGCTTCTCCCTCTGACCCTCCCCCCTCTCATGTGCTTTCTCTCTCTCATTCTTTCTCTCAAATAAATAAATAAAAAATCTTTAAAAAAAAAAAAAGAAAGACAATTTTCACCCATTGAATTGTCTTGCACCTTTGTTGAAAATAAGTTGACTATAAATGTAAGGGCTTATTTATGGATTCTCAATTCTATTCCATTGATCTGGATGTCTGTCATAATGCTAGTACCACCCTGTCTTGATGACTATAACTTTGTGGTGAGGTTTGAAATTGGAAAGTCTGAGTCCTTCAGCTTTGTTTTTTTGTTGTTCTTTTTAAAAAATATTTTCACTATTCTGGGTCCTTTGCATTTCTTTATGAAATTTAGGACAAGCTGTTCAAATTCTGCAAAAAAGTGAAGAAGGATTGCACTGAATCTGTAGATGAATTTGGGGGAGTATTGCCACCTTAACAATATTGAGTCTACTGACCCATGAGCATGGGATGCCTTTCTATTTATTTAGGTTTTAAAAATTTCTTTCAAAGGTGCTTTTCTGGGGATGACTTTTTATTTATATTTTCTACTCCTAAATCATTTTCTTTTACTAGGGATCTAGTTATAGTCCAGGTGGGAGAAGCAAATGAAAGAAAGGCACTGTTAAGATATATTCTCTGTTCTGTTGGAGATAGTAGACTTTGAATAGGAAATTGTATCTGGAGGCTTCATGGTAATGCCAAGAATCACCTGCCTGAGGATTGTTAAATCCTAGATCAGGTTACCACCAAGCAGTACTGAATTCCAATCTTTGAAACAGTTGAAAAACAGAAGTATTGCTTATCTCACTGGGGTTGTTCAGATTCTGAGAGGCAAACCAGTTAACCTTCTGGAGCACTAGATGGCTCCAGGATTTACCTTATTTCCTTTAAGGTTTATTTGATTTTCTGAATATGTTTAAAATTAAAAGAATATCAAAAGGCATATAGTGACAAGTCCTCCTCCCATCCTTCCCCCATCTACCCAGTCACCCTTCAATTTTTATGTATCTTTCCAGAATTTATATATATAGTAAATATTAATATACTTTTATCAGAGGTCTTAGAATGCGTATTAATTGAGACTTTATAAGAAATAAATTTATAGTAAGTAGATTTTAAATAGGATTTTATTATTATTATTATTATTATTATTATTATTATTATTATTTTTAAGGATTTATTTGACAGAGAGAGACAGCCAGAGAGGGAACACAAGCAGGGGGAGTGGGAGAGGGAGAAGCAGGCTTCCTGCTGAGCAGGGAGCCCGATGCGGGGCTCGATCCCAGGACCCTGGGATCATGACCCGAGCCGAAGGCAGACGCTTAACGACTGAGCCACCCAGGCCCCCCTTAAATAGAATTTTAACTGATCAATATGTGATCAATTTGGGTATTCTTTCTTATTAGTATTAGTGAAGACTTCCCCTAACTGAGTTAGGAGAAAATTTTGTTCTGCTCATTTTTCTTATTCCTTGACAAGGGGCTGTTTGAATCAGATTTGAACACTCTCTGCATAACAGATTTTGGCAAATATCTACATTATGGGGCCACTTGTCAGAACCTTTCTCTGCTTGTGAAAAAGTACATAAAGTGCAGGTTTGTTTTTGGCAGAATGGGCAAATGTTCACAGTTCTCTGGCTGAATCCCACACCAGATTCAGATTTAATGTGCAGTCTTATACATATGCTTAAATCTGAATCGTCATTTTTTTTCTCTGCACATGTAAATTTTCTTTTTTTTTAAAAATTTAAAAATTTTTTAAAGTAATCTTTACACCTAATGTGGGACTCAAACTCAGGACCCTGAGATCAAGAGTCACGCACTCTACTGACTGAGCCAGCCAGGTGCCCCATATGTAAATTTTCAACACAAGTTAACTTATACCTCACTAGGAATCTAAAAAAATAAAGTAGTATTAAATGTCAGAGTTTACTGAAGACAGGAATATTGGCAGACTGTGTTGTTTTTAAAGCATTTTCATCATATGTACATGTAACTTAATTTACACTTCAACCTGTATAAATTTATTTACTTTTCTTTTCCAAGAAGCTATCTATTAAAGACATGGCTGACTTTCCTGTCCCAGCCCAAGATGTGACTAGTGATGACAAACAAGGTATGAAAAGAATGAGTTTTATTCCTTTAGGGACATTCTACCCTTGTTTCTTCATCTACTTCTCTTGGAATGGCTGGCTTCTGGAGCATATGAGGACGGTGTTCAGTATATGAACACATTTGGATGGATTAAGTAGTTCAAATAGTTGTCAGAAAACTGTAGTTTCTGAAGTGGTAACAGGAGCTTCCAAAGCCCCCTAACTCATTGGCCCCTTACTCACTGCTGACCCTCAGACTACTCTGACACTTTACATTGGGATTTGGTTGCACTAATTAGGAAATGACTGGAAGCTGGAAGAATTGAGAGCTTAACATCTTGGGTTGGCAGATGTGATCCCAGAACATCAGTATAAATGCATATTTGTGCACAGGTCTAATCCTTGAGGAAGTTATCTTCTGGAGAGAGTTTCTGTCCCTGGGATTTATCTTGTGACTTTGTGGATGCAAAGCTGTGTCGTGGAGCCAGCAACCATTTGTCTGTCTTACTGGGCAAGTGAGAAGCAGTACAGCACAGTTTTCCATGTTAGAGCTACCATGAAGCACAGAGATGAGTTGGCCTAGGAATATTTAGAAGAACAGTTGGATGTCTACCCCTCTGCCCCCTCCACCAACACCACTCCATATAATTCTTTATAATCTACCAGGTCTTTCCTCATTCATTGTCTTACTTGGTTCTCACAAAACTGAATGGAGGCTAGTATGTTTTATCACCTAAAACGCAGAGATGAGTAAACCGAAGTGCAGGCAGTGTGAATCACTTGTTTAATAATAAAAAGAATGGGGATAAGAACAAAGATTTTCTAAGTCTCAAGCCAGTATTCTTTTTATTATTTGATACTGATTTACTACCCATGAATGAGAGGCTTATCTGAAGGGACTAAAAATCAGTGAAGGTATTTCAGGTTTTATTGTCAAGATCTGCCATTGTTGCTGCTTTGTATGGGAATTAAACATGAAAAATAAGTTTTCCATTAGGAAACAATAATTGCTTGCTCTCTTTAAATATTTGCTCAGGAGAGGCAGGCAGAACTAGACATTCTTTGCAGCAGTGTGTACTCTGATCACTGTCTTTACTAGTGGGTCTAAGCCTTGATTGCACATTGGAATAACCGGGTGAGGTCTAAAAATACTGAAGGCTGCATCTCACTCCCAGAGAGATTCTGATGTCCTTGGTCTGGGTGTCAGGAATGAAAGGGAGAAATTTCTCATATTTTCTGGTAATACTCCTCATAGCCACTAGAGGTGCTCTGTTGAAAGTTGGAAGTACTGCTTTGTTCCTTGTGGGATGAGAACCTGTTTCCATACTTTAGGGGGTCTTTATTGTTTTACTAAGTGCTGTACCAACCTATAGAGGTTTATAACACCATTTTCATAAGTGATGACTAGGGATTCTTTGTTTTAATGTCATGTGCCTCAGACATAAAATTTTACCGTTTTTTTTCCTCCTTTCTTTCTCTTGTTAAGAACAAAACAAAACACGTCTAGAACAAAACAAAATACGTCTAGCTTTGAAAAGTACTGCGGATGAAGCCTTACCAAAGGATATGTCTGAGGATCCAGGTAGGAGAAAACCATTTTAATGTATTTTTATGTCATTATTTCTAATTTAAAGAACCCAGTAGTTTCAGTGAGTAGAAAATTGGTGGTAGTATAAGTTTCTCTCTAAATATTTGCCTTGTTTTATTCTTTTTTTTTTTTTTGACCATGTAGAAGGTACTTTATTGAGGTGATTAGGAGTGCCCCCAGCCCAGGCTCATCCCCCTCAGTACAGTCCCATGGGTGGAAAGGACCAGGCCTGTGGGTTGCTCTGGGCCACCACCTAGGAGAGGCTGGGCAGTGGGACAGGGGCCTGGGGCTCCAGTCCAGGGCAGAGGTTCCAGGCAACAAGGGTGATGGTGGCTGAGGCATGGGCTGTTGGGGCCCGACCCCCCAGGGCTGCAGAGGGGGCGGTGTGGCTACCAGCCAGATGCTTTTCAGCAGGTCAAAGGCTGTTGGGGAGCCCCAGGCTGCCCCGGATGGCGAAGGCAACAAGGGCAAGGGGGGTGGCCAGGGACCTTTTGGCGGTGCCAGGTTCACCCTGTGCACCATGGGAGTGCTGCAGGTGTGAGGCATGGCAAAGGTGAGCTTCTTTGTCCTCTGTTGTCTCCTCTGCCTCCCCTCCCCTGGGGCCGGCTCAGGGCTGTTGATCCAGGAGGGTGTCATCCTTTGGCTTTCAGGGCCCCCAGGCTTGGTCCCTGGTAAGAGTGGCTGGCAGCTACGGAGCACCACAGTGAGGTCGGGCACACAGCCATGGCAGGCCTGTAAGGTGCCCACAGTGGCATCCCTGGCTTCTTGCACTAGGTTCCTCCTGGGGAAGGCCTGTGGCAGAATCAGCTGGCACTGCAGCTCCTCCAGCAGCTGCTCCAAGCCAGGGAGCTCTGGGGGACTGGGTGGGCCTGGGCCAGAGCCTCTGGGCACCTGGTTCTCCTTGCCCCTTGACTGCGGGGCCTGTTCTTGGGCCCACCTTGGGCTCGGGGAGGGTTTGGTGGGGAGTGAAGGGGTGCCTGGCTCCAGGGACTCACAGCCTAGCAGCTGTGCCACATCAAGAGATTTCACCTCATGGTTAAAGAGACCCCAGTGCTCCTGGCTCAGCCGGCCCTGGGTTATGACCACAAACTTGGGAGCAGTAGGGGCCACAGAGGGATCCTGACTGGTCACAGGAGGATCCTGACGGGTCAGTGGCCGGCAGCTGCCCATCAGGGCCTCATTGCACTCCCGCCTGGTCTTCTGACAGCGGACACAACCAGGTTTCTCAGGCCGCTGGAAAGGCTGGGGGGCTGGCCCTCGGGGGTCTATAGTGTCCTTCTCCTGGACCAACGAACCCCGCCCCACACCCACCCCACGTGGCTGTGGGGTACAGTGGCTTCTTTTCCGTAGTAACCCTAGCTCACGACGGACTGGGGTGTCTTCCGGGCCTCACGCTGGGCGCCTTTTGTTTTATTCTAAGGAAATCTTTTGGTTGCTTTTTACCGCTTCCCTCTTTTCAGGTATGAGAAGAGGGTGTTTTTTATTTTTGAGTTCTGAATTTAGGTTTCACTGATAGGATCACGCAGTTTGAAGTTAGAGTCTCATTATTACTTTTACTGTGAAATTGGGAAGGCTTGGAGTTGAGATTTCAGTAAGCCATTGTGGTTTCTGTGTAAAGTAAGGAGCTGATGGGTAGATCAACTGGAGGCCCATGGGTAGATCAACTGGAGGCCCACAGTTGAACTTTTCCATTTCCAGAGCAAAAATCTCAAATGTTTTCATTAAACTTCACCACCAGGAAGGCAAGTAAATGTGCTTATACATGGAGTGGATTCCAAGGAGAAAAAGAAAAGTTGTGTTTGTCCATGTTCTTAGAGAGTTGGAACTGTGTCTGTGAACTGTGGAGAGGGCCAGGCCTGTGTCCTCAGCTCTCTTGATGGGAGCCATCACTGAACCAAGCTGAACCTAGCTGAAAACAAACTGGCTAGGGAGGGCATTACTCTTTGGATCTCCAGTTGTGAGGATGTGAAAGAGGTTGCTACATTCCCTCATTGTTATCTTTCATAATATTTAATAAGTGAATCATGTTTGTTTTGGTTAGCTAGCTATCATCCCAGGCTTATTTGTTTAAAGTTGGAACAAAGGAATCAGTATAACATTGAGTCTTATGCTATAGTACAGTATTTCCCAAACACTAAGTTCATTCAAGGTTTAAAAGAGAGAGAGGGGCAGGGGAAGATAGAAGGAGGAGGGGGGAGAGAGAGAGAGAGAGAGAGAGAGAGCGAGCGAGAGAGCGCGCATGAATATGAATGAGAATATATGATTGATTTCGGTGATGAGGTTGAAGATTCTATGTGTTTAGGCAGCACCCCAGGTGATTCTGATGTGTGGCCTATTTGGGGAACCCCTGCCTTTAGGAGATGAGGTTAAGAACTAGAAAATTGAGACTGTAGATTAACCATGCCTCCAAAAGTGGTGGGAATTCTCAAGCCTAGTTTGGGTTCCTTCATCATAGGGAGAAATGCTCAGTTTATGTAAAGACAAATGGATTGCTGGCTTGTTAGAGAATTAGACTTTAGGCTTGCCCTCTTATTCCATGGCAGAACAAATGCCTGAGGTCAGTTCTTTCCACCTCTAATTTCTGGAGCTAAAGTGGATGCACCTCCGTTTTTGTAAACTTCATGTTAACGGTGTTAATAAAAGCTAGTTGAACTTAGAGAGTTAAATTGGTGCTTTTCCAGCAGCCTTTTAGGCTAATAACTTGCTGTTTTTTCCATGAGCATCATGTGTTCTCTGGAGCATGAGCTTCATTTTTAAGATTCCTTCACTGACAGGGGGATGGGGTCACCAGACAAATGCTACGAGGGTGTGCTACGGTGTGCAAAGCACATCTGCATTTGTTTCATTCTGCCTGGGAACATGCTCTGTGGCTTCTGATTTATTTTTCCTACTGCTGCCCCTTTCTGGAGTGGATATGAGGGAATCTGTCATCTGAAAACCTATTTAATACCCCCTTTCTTGGGGCATGTTTGGATTTCTTGTGCGAGACACTGTAGAGTTTCAATGTGGTGGTTTCTAACTCCAAATGTCTGTCCATGCCACAAGGACATTTCACCTCAGTTGAGTGCTGCCTTTTAGAGAATTAAACTTCAGGCTTGCCTTTTTATCCTATTTCAGTTTGCTGCAAAGGTGACATGCCTGGGATGTTCTAGGAAGTTGTCATTCTTCTTCCCTCTTCCCAGCTAAATGAGAAGCTGTGATCTCCCCACTGGCTTCTGCCTGGATTCCAATACAACAAGCCCTGGCCATTTTTGCAGATACTCACATGCCCCAAATGCTGAGTCTGACTTTCAGGGGCTTGGAGGCTGATGGAAACTTAACTGGAATAGTGTTATCTAGCTTTTTGTGATCCGAAACCTGTGGGGACTTGTCAAGATCTGCCTGGGATATATCTTTGCAGATGGCAGGAGAAATATCTCCCTGCCCTGCTCTTCCACAATGGGTGGTAATAGTGATGATAATAATGGTAATAGTAATGGTGATGAAGATGATGTGGGGGTGGGACTGTTGTCAGGGAATGGGGGTAATTCCTTGTCACATATTTTTTAATATGCCTTTACCCTTTTAATTGCTGAAAGTGTACATATTAGTGGAGTCTAATAGATTCCTTAGCTAACATCATATTCCAGCCGAATTCAACAGGGCACACTGCACAATGGTGATCTTTTTCTTGATGTCTGTAAGTCATGCTGAGGGGATTAGGCCTGTTGACCCTCACACTAGTCTTCAGACACCGTTGGTGATTCTAGCAGCTGCCCCGTTGCCAGCTGTCACCCCAGGGTCTTTACAGGGTAGAACAGTTTTCTGCTTCCATTACCTGCTCCCACCTGTACCTCCTTTGCTGTCCTAATGGGAACTAAATTTAGAATCCAGGTTTCTAAGCTTGAAAGATTAGGAACACTCTCCAACAGTAATATTTTGCAATTCTAAAATACAGTTAGTTTTCAAAGTACTTTCATCTTCTCTCTCCCCGTGAGAAAGGGGTCACATTTTTATTATCTTCATTCTGTAGATGAAGAAACTGAGGCTCAGAAACATAATAGTTACAGTTGTGGCCAGGAGGGACATGTAGGCCTCAGGACTCCTGTCTGGGTCTCCACCGCTTATCCATACCCCCACACCCCATCTGTCTGTATGTCTTATCTCTCACCTCCAGGGTTTACCACTCCTTCCACACCCATTCTCACCCCAGCAAAAAGAGATAATGGCAGTTGACAAAGGAATTAACGGTCACCCCCGTGGTCTGGTTTGGGGAACCAGACTTTTATTTTAATGTGGCCGAGACTTTCCTGACCCACATATTTCTGGAAAGCAGTGTGGCCTGAGGGAGAAGAGGGGTTCAGAGTCAGCTGTGGGCAGCCTGCCCAGAGGGTGGCCCCCAGCTTTGTGGTGAGTCTGGTCACACTGTTCACTCAGCCCCACGGCAGGATGGGCTCCCCTTAGGCCCCTTTCCTTCGCTGCCTGGAGTTTGTGGGGTCAGGGGTGGCGGGGTAGCCACATATCCCTGCAGATGTAGGTGCATGAGAATGGGCAGGACAGGGCTCAAACTCCTCAGGCCTCCCATGCTTTTCAGGGCTCTGGCAGCATTTTGATGGATTGAAGTTGAAAGATGCCTGTGTTCTCAGTACACCAAACCAGAATGCTTATTTTGGGATAAATGCATCTTTTCGGCAGCTGACCATATCTAAGGGAATATATTGCTAGTTTGCTTTGTGCTTGTTAGCATTTTTAGCTCCCCTTTCCTCTCCTGCTTATCTAACCCATGGATTTTAATGACCCTCATCAATCCAGGCTGCTTCATCCCAAGGAGGGTTTTTATCTTTAGGAGCAATGTAAAAAAGGGTGGGATAATTCACTGAGACATAAGAAAATGTTTGGAAGAATTTGTGCAAGCAGTATACAAACTATATTCTCCTTGTTCCTAGTTAGTAGCACTTTTTCTATGGATTTTTATGACATTTTATGATGAAAAATTTGCAGTGTTTGCAAAACCTTAGCATAACTAATGGTTTCTAAAGTTGTCTTCTGTAGGGTATTGAAAACATAAAAAAGGATTAATCTTTTTGTAAATGTTTCTAATTACTCCCAGGAACCTGTGATGGGAAAGTAGGCTTCATGGGTGTCGATACTGAGCAAGTTAGTTCATGATTTACATTTGATAAGGAAAAGTCTTATGGTTGATAAAATATTTTAATGATTTCACTCCGTAATATCCTCTGTATGATTTGGTCACAGAGACATAGGACACAAGAATATTTTCTTATAGGAAAATCTGTGTAGCTTATTTCAACTTGTGGGAGCTTTGATTTCTTGTGGTCATACTGCTCTGGTAGTGTATTTTAAGAAAATCTTGAAATATGTAACCTGATAGATTTCTTCCTAGCCTTCAGGGGAAGCTGGTTCAAAATCAATTACTAGGCTATCATGATAGACCAAGAAAACCACAGGTCTGAACCCACTATTATACAAGTAGATAACCCCTTGAGAGGGTTTTCTTTTTAGACTGGAATTTCTTTATTCGTCAACGTAGATTTGAAAATAGCTCCTTAGTACTCTAACAAAAGGAAAAAAAATATTGGTTTCTCCTTCCTTTAAATTGTGCCTTTAGCTTTAGAAATAAAATTACAAAATAATGAAAATGTGGAGGCGGTCAAGTTCTCCACAGGGACACCTGTACCTCACATTTACCTGTTGATAATGTTTGTTCTGTACTAGCCCAGGTATTGCTTATAAACCTGTTCAACTGCAAAAATGAAAGCCAAGTAAACAACAACTAATCTTTGTTTCAGCCACTTCTAAGGATTCCAACAGTCTCAAAGCAAGACCAAGATCCAGGTAGTGTTTGTTTAATTTCTGCTTTAATGCCCCTTCTGTCCTGTCCCTGACTAGAAATAAAATCCCACAACCTGAAGCCCAACCCACAATTTCCTTTTCCTTCAGATTTGAAGCTTAGAATAGGGGTGAATTCACTTGTCATGAAGGGCCTGCTTGGAGCATGCAGTGCGGCTGGGAGACTCTCAGTTTTTGTGTTTATTAGCGCTGGAAGACGGTGGCTGCTTCCGGCTGGTCGCCTGACAAGAAGTGGTTTGTGTGGATATGGCCCAGTTGTTGCAAGATGATAAGGAGTAGAGGGCAGTAGTTTTGGAGAGAAGGAAATGTGGTTCAAAGGTAACACTGAAATTTACTATCATGACAAGGTGGACACCAAAAAGTAAGATGCCTGAGGGATGAAATCTAGAGTAGGAAAAGAAAGCACTCACAGTGATTTTAATGAGGCTTGAGGCTTTAGGTAAGCAGTGCTTATGGTCTGTTTTATCCTGTCTTAGAGCTGCTTTTTGGCTTCACGGTTTGTTTGTTGTTGTTTTTTTTTTTTAATAGATTTTGTTACTTGACGGAGAGACAGCGAGAGAGGGAACACAAGCAGGGGGAGTGGGAGAGGGAGAAGCAGGCTTCCCACCGAGCAGGGAGCCCGATGTGGGGCTCTATCCCAGGACCCCAAGATCACGACCTGAGCCAAAGGCAGATGCTTAATGACTGAGCCACCCAGGCGCCCCAAACTTCACGGGTTTTAGATCAGTAGAAGCTAGTAGAAGAGGGAGAGCGAGTAAGGCAGAGCTGCAGTTGACATCAGACATCAGAGTGGAGGATTGAGGAGAAATACGGAATCATTAATAGAACATCAGAGAGGGGAAATGGTGTTGGGACCACTCTTCAGTGGTAGACAGCAGTGTAAGACAGGACAGTACATATGTGTTTGCTTTGGCTCTCAGTGACTTTTTTCTTCCTTTGGCTACTGAGACACATTCCTGAAAAAGTGAATTTAAATCTGATCATATTTTATATGCTTGAAATATTGATAATTGAGGAAACCTCGTCTTTTTGTAAGTCTGAGAGTTACCCCTTAGTTTATCTTTTATGTCTGGAGTTTCTAAATTGGGGTTTTGTTTCCTTGTTTATAGAAGATACAGATATCTGTATTCACATTTTTTGAAACAATAGATACAGTAATCTTTTTGGCAGGAAAAAAGGTATAGTCACTATTTCTGTCTGTGGCTACCACATTTACTCATCTCTTTTTTTTTTTTTTTTTTAAGGATGAATGGATCTTTTACTGTACTGGCTTAAAAGTACTGGCTTTAGGATGTAGGAATAGTAACATTTATCTGCCCTCATTATGAAAAACCTTTGAATTCCAGAAATCTGTTTATGTGTGCTGTGTTAACTGTAAATTAAACCTCACAGTTTTCTTCTCTTGACTTCCTCTCTTTCTCCAAGTGAATGAAAGTACAAAATTTCATGGTTACCTGTTCTATTATTAATATCTCTGGCCAACTTTTTTTTTTTAAGATTTTATTTGTTTATTTGACAGAGAGAGAGTGAGAGAGGGAACACAAGCAGGTGGAGTAGGAGAGGGAGAAGCAGGCTTCCCACTGAGGAGGGAGCCCGCTGCGGGGCTCGATCCCAGGACCCTGGGATCATGACCTCAGCCGAAGGCAGATGCTTAACGACTGAGCCACCCAGGCACCCCCCAACTTTTATATATTATTCTTTTAGGGATTGGTCTCCTGGTCTAATTTGGATGTTTTTATTTTCACTACTCCCCAGCTGGGTCTTTACTGAGACTGAGAGAATCAGATTATCCTTTATCTTCCTTTTTAGAATAATAAAACTTTGTAGAAATGTGAGGGAGAGGGAAAATCACTGATCTAACACCACTTATATTCATTATTTTGTTGATTCCCTGCACATTTGTATTTAAATTGGTTGCAGTCACAGTTTTACAATATCACTTGTTTAATATTCAGTTAGCTTTCCATATGAAAATACCAGTACGCAGGTTATATATGGGAATAGAATGGAACGAGATATGTGGTATGGGATGGTATGCCTAACTGTATGTGTGTCGATACACACACACACACACACACCATATTTTCTTTCTTGACTGAAAACTGTCACTAAAGCTCTTTCTGGCATAAAAAGTTCTTTTAATTTCTAGCTAGAGTCTCTGGTTTCCTTTTTAAATCAAGAGTTCCCATTTGAAAACTTTGTTGTCCTTTCCTATCAATTTCCTTTCACTCTGATTGAAAGTATCAGACCATTATTCCTGCCAGTTCCTGCATGCCTTTGCCTTGCCTGTCTTGCCAGTTGTTTTACAGGGACCACCCCGGAGCATGTTCCATGCCATTATGGCAGCTTTATGAAAGATTGCAACCCTGCATGACAAACAAAACTCTTCAGCTACCACAAAGAAACCTTGAGGGAATGATTCGGGAAAGTAAAAACTTGCTATGTCACAACCAGCTTTACCAAGAACTGAAGTTGCTGAATAGTAATCGATAGATTCTGATTTCGTAAATGGCACTCTAATAGCTAAATACTAATAATAGTTTTCTGATGTTAATTTGTCTCTAGAACACATCTCCGACTCAAAGGTCATTTTGTTCTTTGACATGAGCGTAGCTGAGAGGCTGAGTAGAACGGATGTACAGATCCACTTCTTAGAAAATCATATTGGGAACTCATTTACAAACCTGTTTCTAAGCGATAATGTACTGAGTTGAATTAATTTAGAAAATAATTAAGTCTCTAATAAGTAGTTTAGCCACTACTGCCAAAAGATTTCTTTCCTGACTCATAGGCAGTATCAGAATATTTTAAAAATGGAATTTAGAAACAGATTGGAGTTTGAACTGAACCAATGTAACTTTCTAGCTATGTTACTTTTGGCAGGTTATTTATTTTCTGTTTCTTTGAATGTAATTATTAGAGTTACAATCTCAGAAGTTGTCTAGTTAGCCACTGCCTTGTTACAGATTGAGGGAGAAGGTTAAGAGGAAGCTTCTGCTTTGAAAATTTCCCCAAACTGGTATTTCTCATGGTAAGACAGCCTAGACCCCTCCATATGATAGATGTGTGTTTCCCTTTCCTGAATTTCATTTGTGGCGTATTCCCTTGAGTCTCTGATTCTTACTCTCAGGTTGTCTGCCCCACTTCCATATGTGCCTGTCATCGTGTTCACATGTAAACAGGAGAAAAGTGCTGCAGTCTGTTAAGACCATGAAGCCCTTCTGTTACAATATGGAAGTGCCTGAGCAGAAGGCTTATGTGTTATTCTTATTAACAATACCCATAGAAACGGATTTGAATTTACTTTCTATCTTTTCCTTTGTGTAAGTTTAGGTCTAAGATATAATATGAACAGAGAGGTTAAAAAAGGTTCTGATTCATGGTTTGGGTTTGGACAGTTATTGCAGGTAGTGGCACCCAAGGGTCAGTTGAATTTGTGGTTGCTTTGAGATGGGCCCTGGTCAGTCCTTTGTAGTGACTTTGACTTTTGTGGGTATTTCCATTTCAGCCCTACTTCAGAGACTAAAGCTTTGCTGTCTCCCTTCTGACCTTTCCTTATTTTGCTGCAGATCTTACTCTAGCACCTCCATAGAAGAGGCCATGAAAAGGGGCGAGGACCCTCCTACCCCGCCACCGCGGCCACAGAAAACCCATTCCAGAGCCTCCTCCTTGGATCTGAATAAAGTCTTCCAGCCCAGTGTGCCAGGTGAAGTGCTCCTCTGCACCCCAGTCTTTCCCTTTCCTGTTGGAGTCACTGGATGTGTGTCTGCCACAGAGGCCTTTGTGAGTCCACAGAACAAGCAGATCTGGCTGTTTCCCGTCCCAGGAAGGCCTTCGAGTTGCTATGGTATTCTTGGGAGGGAAAGCAGTTCTAAACTGATAGATATCCCATGTGTCTGGAGCCTTGCCCACACTCGTATGGACCAAGAATTATGAAATTCTGTACCAAGAGGATTAAAATACTTTAACCCCAGACAGCCCACTGAGTGCATGACTGGGGTCTTGTTCTCTGTATCGTGGTAATTTGTATATAAGTAGTTTGTATATAATTTGTATATTGTCTGTCATTTCCTGAGACGCTTATGCAATTCTTTTGTGAAAGACCTTGGCGATCGACACCTGGCCAGATTCTTCCCCTGCATCTTATCCTTGTGGTGAAGATGCTGTGTCTTGGCGGGTTTAATGCTAAGGGGGCTTGCTTTCTAAATCTGACTGATGTTAGGTGGTTGGTGGAGGGAACTAGGGCAAGGGCTCCTCCAGGTGGCCTGCTGAGGGCTTCTGGGACTGGGACTTCCTTGAGCCAGCTGCTGCACAGCTGGGCTGGAGGTGGGGGAGGTTGGAGGGCCCTGTCTCCCTGTGAAGTGGGAGATGTCCTCCTAGGGACCCTACAGAACAGCAGATGAGAACCATGCATGCCTTTGCTTAGCAAAGGTGCTAGGATGCAGCACCTTCCCAAGTGTTATTTTGGGAGCAGCAAGGGCCTTTCCACTGACTAATGTAGGCAAGCTATAAATACAGTGATTTCCTGGAACTTTTTCTCTATCTGTGTGCATTTTAAATCAAGCCAGCCTCAGATGCTAGTGATTTGCAGATTATTATCTTTTCTACAAAAGCAAGAAAAGACTCTCCTTGGCTCACACATTAGCATGACCTCTGTGTCTCAGCAGAGCTCAGCATGTTTTAGTTGTTCTAATAAAGTAGTCTCCTCACAGTAAAGTTACAGATTGTTTTTTAATATACTAGAGTCTGGAACTCTCTATGAAATTTGATTCTCTGCCATGAGTTCATCAGATAAAAATTTGCCTTGCATTTCCCCCCATACTTTGATCCAAATTCTGGCATAATTTCATAGTAACTGGTATTTGAGGTGGGAGTAGACATGGATGATGATGCTATAAAAATTTCACGTGGCTGGCGGATTATGACCCAGAAGATTTTTCTATGCATGCAAAAAGATTAAAACAATCTGGGCAGCTATCTTAATACGTTTTCCTTGCAAGGAGAGGCTGCAAGCGTGCAAGCATCTGTCTGGCCGTGCAAGCCCGCGAGGAGTGCCAGCAGTGCTGGGGAATGGATGTGCTCTGGCTTTTATGACATTGCATCGTATGCTGGAAGAGACAAGACTGGATTTGGAGTCCAGCTCTGCTGCTTATTAACTGTTTGATTTTCAGCAAGTGGCTTAATCTTTCTGCATTTCAGATTTTTAATCTCTAAAATAGGGCCAACAGTCCATGGAGCTATAGGGTTTTGGCGAGATAATAAACATAATCCTAATAGCAACATGTTTGACCCATAGGCACTCATTTGCTCAGAAATCATTGAGGAAAGGGAGTGAGAAGATAGAGTCCTTTGCCCCGCCCTTGATCTTTAGTGGTTCAGGTCTGTGATCCCTTCCCTACAGTTCCTTGGTGGGCTCACAGAGGGACCGAGCCCCAGTTGCCTGCTGTATTACAAGCAAAGGACTGTGAAAAACAGAGTAAGTGAGGCTAGGTTGCTGAGTCACAGAGTGGCCTATGGTGGACTGATTATGTAGAGAAGAAATAGGATGGAGAGAAGATGCAAAGAAGCAAGAATGAAAGAGGGAAGTGCAGAAAATGATGAGATGGTTGTTACATAGGAGTGATGATGTTTATATAAAGGGAGGAGAAGGAAATAGAAGACTGTGATGACCAAGGGGAGGAGAGCACACAGAGAGCCCTTCCTACAGACTTGGTGAAGGATTTGGTGGGATTTTTTTTTTTTCATTTTTTTTATTACTATGTTAATCACCATACATTACATCATTAGTTTTTGATGTAGTGTTCCATGAATCACTGTTTGTGCATAACACCCAGTGCTCCACGCAGAATGTGCCCTCTTTAATACCCATCACCAGGCTAACCCATCCCCCCACCGCCCTCCCCCTAGAACCCTCAGTTTGTTTTTCAGAGTCCATCGTCTCTAATGGTCCGTCTCCCCCTCCGACTTACTCCCCTTCATTCTTCCCCTCCTGCTGTCTTCTTCTTCTTCTTCTTTTTTTAACATATATTGCATTATTTGTTTCAGAAGTACAGATCTGTGATTCAATAGTCTTGCACAATTCACAGCGCTCACCATAGCACATACCCTCCCCAATGTCTATCACCCAGCCACCCCATCCCTCCCACCCACCACCACTCCAGCACCCTCCGTTTGTTTCCTGAGATTAAGAATTCCTCATATCAGTGAGGTCATATGATACATGTCTTTCTCTGATTGACTTATTTCACTCAGCATACACCCTCCAGTTCCATCCACGTCGTTGCAAATGGCAAGATCTCATTCCTTTTGATGGCTGCATAACATTCCATTGTGTATATATACCACATCTTCTTTATCCATTCATCTGTCGGTGGACATCTTGGCTCTTCCCACAGTTTGGCTATTGTGGACATTGCTGCTATAAACATTGGGGTGCACGTACCCCTTCGGATCCCTACATTTGTATCTCTGGGGTAAATACCCAGGAGTGCAATTGCTGGATCGTACGGTAGCTCTAATTTCAACTGTTTGAGGAACCTCCATACTGTTTTCCAGAGCGGTTTCACCAGCTTGCATTCCCACCAACAGTGTAGGAGGGTTCCCCTTTCTCCGCATCCCTGCCAACATCTGTCGTTTCCTGACTTGTTAATTTTAGCCATTCTGACAGGTGTGAGGTGGTATCTCATGGAGGTTTTGATTTGGATTTCCCTGATGCCGAGCGATGTTGAGCACTTTTTCATGTGTCTGTTGGCCGTTTGGATGTCTTCTTTGGAAAAATGTCTCTTCATGTCTTCTGCCCATTTCTTGACTGGATTCTTTGTTCTTTGGGTGTTGAGTTTGATAAGTTCTTTATAGATTTTGGATACTAGCCCTTTATCTGATATGTCATTTGCAAATATCTTCTCCCATTCTGTCGGTTGTCTTTTGGTTTTGTGGACTGTTTCTTTTGCTGTGCAAAAGCTTTTTATCTTGATGAAATCCCAATAGATCATTTTTGCCCTTGCTTCCCTTGCCTTTGGGGATGTTTCTAGGAAGAAGTTGCTGTGGCTGAGGTCGAAGAGGTTGTTGCCTGTGTTCTCCTTTAGGATTTTGATGGACTCCTGTCTCACGTTTAGGTCTTTCAACCATTTGGAGTCTATTTTTGTGTGTGGTGTAAGGAAATGGTCCAGTTTCATTCTTCTGCATGTGGCTGTCCAATTTTCCCAACACCATTTGTTGAAGAGACTGTCTTTTTGCCATTGGACATTCTTTTCTGCTTTGTCAAAGATGAGTTGATCATAGAGTTGAGGGTCCATTTCTGTGTGTCTGTTTTTGTGCCAGTACCATACTGTCTTGATGACAGCTTTGTAATAGAGCTGGAAGTCCGGAATTGTGATGCCGTCAGCTTTGCTTTTCTTTTTCAATATTCCTCTGGCTATTCGGGGTCTCTTCTAGTTCCATACAAATTTTAGGATTATTCGTTCCATTTCTTTGAAAAAAGTGGATGGTATTTTGATGGGGATTGCATTGAATGTGTAGATTGCTCTAGGTAGCATTGACATCTTCACAATGTTTATTCTTCCAATCCATGAGCATGGAAGGTTTTTCCATTTCTTTGTGTCTTCTTCAATTTCTTTCATGAGTATTTTATAGTTTTCTGAGTACAGATCCTTTGCCTCTTTGGTTAAATTTATTCCTAGGTATCTTATGGTCTTGGGTGCAATTGTAAATGGGATCGACTCCTTGATTTGTCTCTCTTCTGTCTTGGTGGTGGTGTATAGGAATGCCACTGATTTCTGTGTATTGATTTTATATCCTGCTACTTTACTGAATTCTTGTATGAGTTCTAGCAGTTTTGGGGTGGAGTCTTTTGGGTTTTCCACATAAAGTATCATATCATCTGCAAAGAGTGAGAGTTTGATGACTTCTTTGCCGATTTGGATGCCTTTGATTTCTTTTTGTTGTCTGATTGCTGTGGTTAGGACTTCTAATACTATGTTGAATAGCAGTGGTGATAGTGGACATCCCTGCCATGTTCCTGACCTTAGGGGAAAAGCTCTCAGCTTTTCTCCATTGAGAATGATATTCGCTGTGGGTTTTACATAGATGGCTTTTATGATATTGAGGTATGTACCCTCTATCCCTATACTCTGAAGAGTTTTGATCAAGAAAGGATGCTGTACTTTGTCAAATGCTTTTTCTGCATCCATTGAGAGGATCATATGATTCTTGTTCTTTCTTTTGTTAATGTGTTGTATCACGTTGATTGATTTGCGGATGTTGAACCAACCTTGCAGCCCAGGGGTAAATCCCACTTGGTCATGGTGAATAATCCTTTTAATGTAGTGTTGGATCCTATTGGCTAGGATTTTGGTGAGAATTTTTGCATCCATGTTCATCAAGGATATCGGTCTGTAATTCTCCTTTTTGATGGAGTCTTTGTCTGGTTTTGGGATCAAGGTAATGGTGGCCTCATAAAATGAGTTTGGAAGTTTTCCTTCCATTTCTATTTTTTGGAACAATTTCAGGAGAATAGGTGTTAATTCTTCTTTAAATGTATGGTAGAATTCCCCTGGGAAGCCATCTGGCCCTGGGCTTCTGTTTGTTGGGAGATTTCTGATGACTGCTTCCATTTCCTTCGTGGTTATAGGTCTGTTCAGGTTTTCTGTTTCTTCCTGGTTCAATTTTGTAGTTGATACATCTCTAGGAATGCACCCATTTCTTCCA